CGTGTGTTGTTGGGCGGCGGCTGACACAGGCCCCTGAAGAGATTCAGCAGAAGTGTGCGTCCTCTCGAACGATCGACATGAAGCCCCGGACGGACCCTCCCCCCCCACGGAACGGTATCATCGACGCCGGCGAGCCCGCCGGCGATTAAGGCATAGATGTGACCCAGCGTGTTTCAGTGCGCCCATACCCGTTGCCGCATGAGTGTCGCATCGCATAGCATGAGAATTTATTGAGCGAGATGTCGCCGATCTGCCATGGTTGTCACACTCTGTACTGATTGCCATGTCGTCCCGAGCGAAGCTCTCTTGTTTTATTCTGGAAAACACCTCACAGGAGGAGCCGACGGAGGAGCAGAAGGATGCTCGGCCTCGGGCCGCGCGGCTCGCAGGGCCAAAAAGGCCCGGCAGAACCAGAAGGCGAACAAGGCGGAGAGGAAGGCTGCGGCGGCGGCCGCGAGCGAGGCCGAGCGTGCGGACTACCCGTACGAGCAGCTGCGCGAGAACGTCGAGTTCGTGATGGACGGCCTAGAGGCTGCGACGCAGGCGGCGCGCAACCCCAGCGGGTCCAATATTCAGGTCGCCTACTCGCTGCCTCCCGAGGGGGGCAGGCCAGCGGGTTCGGCGACCTGGTGTACGCCACGGTCCCTCTGGGCTCCGTGGCGACGAAGGTCGCCCGGGACTGGCTCGCCAACGAGCTCTACGAGCCGTCCCGGCGCGGCAAAATTGATGCGGCCTGCAGGGACCGAAAGGTCGCCGACCTGATCACGGCTGCCCCGGCGCCTCGGCGCCGGCCGACGCCGTGTTCAGCGGCAGGTTCGCGACGGGCGAGGCGCCCCACCCGACGACCTCCGCCTCCAAGGCGGACGAGGGCGACGGCGTCGGCGGCGATGGCGGGACCGGCTTCGACCTGTTCGGGGCTTCGGGCCGGACCCCACCCCCATGGAGGATCTCTGAGGTCCTCCCCAGTCTCACCCCACCTTACCTCTGCCCCCCCCTCCCCCCATCCCTCTGCCTCCCATAGGGCAGGATAGCACTAGCATATGCGCCTAGTGCGCACTGGGCCCACATAGATGTGACCCGCCCACTCGAGTGCGGCGCCCGGATGCACTAGTGCTTGAGAGGACACCACAAACGCGGCACGGCCCGTTTTGGATGTCTGCGGAGATTCTGTCTTAGCATACACAGTGAGTCATTCGGAGTCATTCGATGGCCAGAGTGCGATTGTGTGTGTGTGCGGGAGTTGGTTTGTCGGGAGGGAGGGGCAGGCTGCTCACCCACGTGCACCTGCCTCAGCTTGCTCCTGGGCTGAGTGGGCAGCGACAAACCGCACATCGATGCGCTTGGCGGCTGGGAAGAGGGAGAGCGCACGCGCATTGCCTTCCGCCGCCGATTCGACTGCGGCCCGCTCGATGAATTGCAATGCACGTCGGCTGCTGCGGCACGTGCCGCTCGCGCGCAGGATAGAACGGATACTAGGCGCGTGGTCGAGGGCGAAGCTGCTAGGCGGCGATGGTGCAGTGCTCCTGTCTGGCGCTGCGAGGATGTAGGCCCAGAGCGCGTCCGGAAGGTCGAACTCGAGGGGCAGTCGCTGCATAGCAGGGGGGGGCGGGCCAGCAGGAGAGAAATAGCGAGCGCGGTGCACTGATCGCGCCAAACTTATTAGGGTATGAGAATGTTCCCGGTTCTAAATTCTTTTCCAAACCAAGTTTGCGCGAGATCCAACAACCGATCGACCGTCCGACTCCAGCAACATAAAGGCCTTTCAGTGGCATGGGGTCCGGAATGCGTCGCAAAACAACAAAATTTGGAGAGCGCGAGCCACAGAGGCTCCTCGGGATCAGCGCCTGCCGCGTGATTGCCGACGCCACAGCTCGGCCAATCAAAAAGGGAAGCATCGTTGCACTTGCGGCCGCAACCTCGGGAGTACACGCGTTGTCCAAGGGGTGCCTCTCCCCTCCCAAGGGCCAGCAGCAGAGGCACCTGAAGCAGCAGCAGGAGCATCTCCGTGTGTCGCCAGGGTCCCCATCCCCTAGCTCGCATTTGGTCTCCAACACATTTGAGGCGGCGGTCGCGACGGAGTGGTTCGCTCCCCGCCCCTCGCGGCTGCTGCTTGGAGCTGCACTCGTCGCAGGGTGCACTCCCGCCCTTGCTTGGCTCATCTACCTGTGGTTGCTCCCAGCCCTCGGCGGCTGCGTGCTCCTGCCACTCTATCTGCTGGATTGCTGGCCCGCAGCAGTCGGCCCCGCCGCGGGGTTGCTCTCTAGCTTCGTCGTCGCGCCGCTGCAGCCGTGGCTCAAGATCTGGCGCTACCTCATGGGGTACCGAACTGGGTACGTAACCCCCAAAACAACGCGCAAAGGCATTGCCGCTCTCGAGGTGCTCGAGCTCCAGAGGGCGGGTGGGGTTGGCTTTCGCGCATTCGACTTGCTGGAGCACCTACCTTCGAACCACGTGGTGCGGTTGCGCGGCAACGACGCGAGCAAGCCGGTGGTGCTCTACCTACACGGCGGCCCGGGCGCCTCCGAGATGATTGCGGGCGCGGACGGTGGCTTCCGAGAGCTGTTGCATTCCGAGTTTGTGGTCGCCGACTATGACCAGCGCTCGGCGATGAGCAGCGGCGCGCTCAACGACGTTCAGAGCGAGGCCTTCCTCGCGACCCTCACTATCGAGCAGCACGTCCTCGACGCCATCGCCATCGGTGAGTGGCTCCACCGTGAGCCGCGGCTACTTGCTGCGCGCGGGATGGCGCCGCTGCGCCTCCACCTGATGGGTGGCTCGTGGGGGAGCATGCTTGCGCTGCTAGTGGCACAGCGTCGGCCGGACCTCTTCTCGGGGCCGGTAATCGTGCGCGGCCTCTGCGTCGACATTCGGAGGTCGGAGGAGCTGAGTCTCCGCTATCTGCTCGACACGATGGCGCGGGCTGGCGCCTCGGCAGCCAGCATCGAGGCGGTCAAGAGGGTCGGCGGGTTCCGTCCCGATGCGCGAGATCTCCTCGTTCAGCGGACCTGGCTGCAGTCGTACGGCGGCATGTCCTACAATGAGTATGTGCGGGCGCAGCAAGGCGAGCCGGCGGGGCGGATGGACTTGTTCTTTCGAAATGCGCTCGCCATGGCGACCACGCCGGAGATTGGGCTGAAGGCCTGCCTTGAGGCGATGCCCCTCCTCCGCACATCGCTTGCGCGGCTCTGGGGGCAGATGGCGGCGCAAGATATGCGGGTCGAACTGGTCGGCCTCAACCTAGTCGTGGCGCAAGGCAAGTATGACCACTGCACCGCCTCCGCCCTCGTCAAGCCTTGGCTTACCGACTCGCTCTCCCTTTCCACTGGCGGCGAGGCAACGCTGGTCTGGTTCGAGGAGAGCGGGCACAGTCCTGAGAAGGAAGAGCCACGCCGCTTCGCGGAGCTCGTCTTCCAGCACTGGCTCGAGGGAGCGGGCGACTCGGCCAGCGGCATGATCGCGGCGCCGGCAGCGACGCCTACCTCGCCGCCGGCCGTCCACACGCACAAGCAGTGGAACCAGGGCCGTGCGTCGTTTTAGAGTATTGGGAGTTCGAATTTCTCCTCTGTCAGTAGCATGTTGAGTACGCCCAATTCTGAGTACACGGCACGCCTCCTGGGCCTCTGACCCTGAGGACACGCTCATATAGTCCCGAGGCCTACGGATGCGCTATTTTGCCGTTTGTTCCCTCAGCGCCCATGGCCAGCCCGCCCCCAGGTTCACACGCTAGTCACGCAGTCACACAGTCAGCATCTCCACCCCACAGGGTCCTCACAACCATCACACAGCCAAGTTTGATACACCCCTGTTTCCTTTATCATCCTCACAAGAGCAGCCGGCGGCCGTAGCCGTGCCAGCCTGCCCGGAACGATAGGCGATTGCCACCATGTTTGGTCGAGTCGCCTATGGTCGAGGTGCCCCTATGTTAAGGGGGGGATGGGTTGGCTTGGTCGTCGTCATCTCCGTCGTCGTCATCGACCATAGGTCGAGGTGGATCGACCGCCAAATGTTGCGCAATCGCCCGGCGTGTTGAAGCATCCGGCACTCGGCTTTTGTGTTTTGGGCACGCACCTGGGGGCAATTTAGGGACGTGTCATGGATGTGTAAAGAGCGGCGCCATTCGTTTCAACGCACCGGCCGCGTTCGTTTTGGTAGCATCGGTAGTGGCCGGTTGCTGACATCCAGTTAGTTTGCGCGTTGATCCCGGCGGTGCACTGGGAGATGGTCTCGTAGCAGACGCCTAAGCGGACGCGCTAGGTGATGGAGACTAAGAACGTGAAGCAACCTTGCAGGTCGTCCGCGCCGTTGGTGTAGTATGCTGGCTTGAACGCGTGCGTGAGGCACTGCCCGGCGCACTCGGCAATGCCCTCCATGTAGCAACGCGGTCCGCTGTCTCGGAGATTGTTGTCTTGGTATGTGCACTTGCCCTTGCTTGCAGTCTGGGAGTGGGTTGCCTCGCTGCACGCCTGAGGGTTTACCAGATAGGCGTCAAGAGACGCCGCCTGACCATATGTGCGGATGGGCGAGATCTCAAGCTCACCTGAGTGGGGCGCTCCCATTGCGAGGTGGGCTCCTTGCGCCGCTCGAGAGGGACCGCGGCGCAATAATAGTACGACTCGCCGCGGTGTTCGCCATACCCCGCGGCCGAGGCCCAGCCGGCCGGAAGCGCGCACGGCTCGGTGGGAATCTTCCACTGCGACGGGGGCTTCTTGCCCCCTATCGGTTGCTCGGCGCTGCAATAGTAATACGTCCTTCCCTCGTCGGCGGTGCCGTCGTGGACCACCGTCGAGGCCCAGCCAGCTGGGAGTTCGCACGGCTCCTTGGGGCGCCCCCACTGTGACGGCGGCTTCTTGCCACCTACCGGGTGCTCGGCGCTGCAATAGTAATACGTCCTTCCCTCGTCGGTGGTGCCGTCGTGGACCACCTTCGAGGCCCACCCGGCTGGGAGCGACACATGCCCCTGTGACTGGCCATATCCCGCCTGCTGGATGCTCGCTGCCTCCGCCTTTGCTTTCCAAGCTGCCGCCTCTTTCTGCATCTTTTGGGCCAAGGCCTCCGCCTCGGCCTTGGCCGCCTGTGCCTCCGCTGTCTCCATGTTGGCAGCCTCCGCGGCTGCCGAAAGCTTGGACTCCGCCTCGGCCAGCCTTGCCTCCAGATTCGCCTTCGCGGCAATCGCCTCTGCCGTCTGCGCCTTGGCCGCCTCCGTTGCTTCTGCTAGCTTGGTCTCCAGATGCGCCTTTGCAGCGCTCGCCGCCGCCGCCTGTGTCCTCGCCGCCTCAGCCGCGGCCTCTGCTGCAGCAACCTGATGCTGGCCATAGGCGGAGCCCCACTGCTCGTGCTGGCTACCACCATGGGAGATCGGACCGTCTTGTCCGCCACCACCGTATGCGTAGCCCCATTGCTCGAGTTGGCCGCCTCCGTGGGGGGTCGGGCCGTGTGGGCTGCTACCGCCGTATGCATAGCCCGAGGGCTGGCCTCCCTCATAGTTCTTGCGACGATCCTCTTCACTGCTGGCCTGGGCCTCTTTGAATCCCTTGTAGCCCTCAGAGGCAAGGATCTTTGCCACATCAACGATAGCTGGGCCATGCTCGACTGCTGCGGCTGCGGCATTGGAGGCGGCGTCGGCGGCCATGCCTGAAGCCTGGTCAGCGGCGATGTCGGTGGCGTCCTCGTCGCCCGACATCACGGCGAGACCCATCTTCATGGTTGCACCCATTCCGCGGTCCTTGGGCGCAAAAGCCCGCTCGGACGCATCGGAGGCCCAGGCAGCAGCGGGACCAAACGTCTCCAAAAACGGCTGGCTTGCGAGGCCAGAGGTGACCAGAACGGTGGCTAGGATCCCCAGAGTCGCTGCGGCGATACGGGCCAGCCGTGACGAGTGGCCGGACCCGGTCGCATTCGCATGCGTCACCGTCAGCATCATCTCGCGGAATATTCGCTCTGGCGCCGCTGAGTTTTGCTAGCGGGTTCGTTCGTTACGCTTTTTGCGCTTTTCTTTTCCAGAGAGAGAGTTCTTTTGTTTAAATTCTTTTCCAGCTTTAAAGCAAAAGAACCATCAGGACGCCTCGTCGACGACGACGTCGTCTTGCCCAGCCGCCTCCCCGCGACTGGCCCACGGCCGCTCGTACTCGACGTGCTCGAGGCACAGCCCCGCCGCGGGCGCCGTCGGGCCCGCGGCGACGCGGTCGGCAGCGGCGAGTACTTGCTCGACGCTGCTCGCGCTCCTGCACCCGACGCCGACCTGCGCGGAGTCGAGTCCCGAGTGGCGGCAAGATGGCGCGAGCGGGGGCGGCTGTGCGGTGTGTCTCTGTGAGGAGGAGGGGTTGTTGGCGGCGGCCTGCAGGAGCGTGCCCGCGACGATCCTCGCCATGTTGTACAGGAAGCCGTCTCCCTCGAGGGTGATGGCGAGCCCCTCGCCCTCGCACCAGCGCACGTCGCAGCGGTGCAGCGTGCGCACCTGCCAGGCAGGGGCCAGGCAGGGGGGCCAGGGAGGGGGTCGGAACGGCTCACGACGGGGGAGGGTTACGCCTCTCGCGCGATGCTGCCGGGGAGAGGTGGTGCGGGGGAGGGGAGGGGAGAGGAGGGGAGGAGAAGCGAGGAGAAGCGAGGAGAGGGGAGGAGAGGAGGCGTGCGCACCGTGGTGCTGCGGCCGCCTTTGCTCTGGAAGGATGCAAAGTCGCGCCTCCCCTCGAGCAACGCGCCTGACGTGCTCGCACGGGCCCCCGACGCTACACGCGCGGCGGCGGAGAGATGGCCCTCACACCAGCCTGGAGCCACCTGCGCGGAGGAGGCATCGGCGTCGCCGACCTCGAGCTCGCGCGAATGCGGCGCATCGGCGAGATGCTCAGCGCCGCCGCGCGCCGGCCGGGACGGCGTGGAGAGGATGCCGCATCGGTGGGACTTTGGGCTCGGGTACTGACCCCCTCGCCTGGCGAACAGGCCCAGGGCTGCACACACCTGGCACACACACATACCTCACACGAGCGCGCACACACACTCTCTCGGACGATGACCGCGCTTGGAATACTCTGCATATTGCAATAGTAGAGCTGAAGAGAGCTCCATCTACGACTGCATGTGTCCAACTTCATGTCCATGTGTCTCCGCTTTGCATCGCCGGCCCACATATGGCCATGTGTGATGTCTGATGACGCGACGCGAACGCGCGAGCCACGAGGATTCAGCGCCAGCGCGCGCGCCTCGTTGTCCGCGGAGAGAGGCGCGTCGCCGCCCGCGCCGGGCAGGAGCAGCTCGCCGTCGTCCTGCACGGCGCAGAGCCGGGCGGTGGCGAGGAGGCGCGGCGGCAGGCTGGCCCTTGCAGCCGGCGGCGAGGTCCGCAGCGGCTGGGCAAGCCTCTCGCCGCCTGAGCCCCGAGGGGCCGGGGCTTCGCCCTCGAGAGGCGCCGGAGGGGCGAGCGGCGGGGCGAGAGGCGGGGCGAGCGGCGGGGCGAGAGGCGGGGCGAGCGGCGGGGCGGCCAGCTCGAGGTCGAGGTCGAGGCCGAGGTGGGCGGCGAGGAGGAGCACGCGGCCTACGCCTCGCACAACCTGGCGTCCTCCCGGCCAGCCTCGGGAGGGGAGGGTCGAGGAGGGGCAGCTGCGCAGGCCGAGCAGGGAGGGCTCGGCGTCGAGCGCCTCGCAAGGCGGGAGGGAGAGGCGCAGCAGCAGCGGGGCGGCGCAACAGCCCGGGTCCATGCCGTAGTGGAGCAGCATCGCCTGCGTCGCGGGTGTGCCGGGGCGGGAGTGGAGGCAAGGCGGCGGTGCGGGCCGGGCGTCGGGAGAGGCGCCGTGTCTTCCTGCGCGTCGAAGCGGCCGTAGCTGATGCACAGCTGCTCGCCCTCTCCGACAGGCGCCACGGCTCGCAAGCAGAGCCGCGCGCCGCCGCCGCTCCCCGCGACTGCGAGCTCGAGGTTCGGCGCGCAGCGGTGGTTGCAGAGGTCGAGGAAAGGCGCCAGCACGAGCGCCCCGCCGGGCAAGCCGGCGCCGGCCGGTGCGGGCAGCGAGATGGCTCGAGTGTCGAGGAGAGCCTTCGCCCAAGTCCAACGCTCCTCCGAGTAGGCACGCTCGACGAAGCCGCCGCCGCCGCCCTCGCCGCCGGGAGCGGCGGCTGCAGCCGCGGAGAGCGCCGGCGCGAGGCGTGGCATCAGCGTCTGGCGAAGCTCGGCCAGCTCTCCGCGCGCGCTGTCCAGTAGGCATCTGTGCCGCCGAGGGCCTGCGGGCCGATGGAGGGGCAGGGCGGGGGGGGAGGGACTGAGACGGCGTGTGCGACGAGGAGGGGAGGAAGA